TGGCCTCCGGATTGGCCAACCTTGAAATAGAATAAAACCCAATCCTCTCTCCTGTCACCTTTTAGTTTCTTGGTGAAGGTTGATACATGATTTTCCTGATTAATTTTGCAAAAAAAAAACAAGAACAATGTGAGGGTTTTTAATGACCCCAAGTAGGGAAAACCCAGAGGGCCAGGTAAAAGCTCAATGCCATTGAGAAAGCTGATCACAATGCCATAAACCTAATGACTGTGGGCACAGCTTGTGCTTTCTTGGAGCAAGCCAGAACAGTCTGGAAAGAGACTTGTGAGCCTCACAGTTTACCTAGCTACACTTGGGCTCCTTTCTCCAGTTGCGCCTCAGGATAACTTGCCTCCTAGGTCAATTCTGCAGAACAGAAAGGCAGACTTCAGGAAAGAAAAAAATAAAACTGCTTGTTCAGGGTGAGATCAAATCTGAAACTGGATTCCATCCACCTGGCATGATGAATTCAAAGAACCCACTGGAATCAGAGACTGAAGTATCTCCGACTGCTGTTTCCATCACTCGCTCCTCTACTCTGAACCATGGTTCAGAGGCTTAAGAAGAAGCCAAATTCAATAGGGGCAGACATTTGAGGGGGGGAACCCATCTCATTTTATTTAAAACTTCATTATATTAAACTCAAGGAATTTGTCTCTAGGTTTAGAGACTTGATCCTGTGACTCAAAGAGCTTGGGAAAGCCTCAAATGCCCACAGAGGATGCAGCTGATAAAACAGAGAGGCCGCCGAGCCCCACATCAATGGGCACCTTCCGTGAGCTTAGCTGGGATGGAAATGCCCCATTTGCACCGAGCCCTCCGGTTGCAGGAACACAGAGAAGCAAGAGCCTCGCCCCAGGCAAGGAACGGTGTCCTGGTTCTTCATCAGCCACAGCTGTGACTCTTTCTAAACTGAAAAGCTGGTCCGGCTGCCACATGTGCACAGACCTGACTTCACCACTGTGTCCTCTCTGCAGAAGGTCAACACGGACGGATGTCACAGACGAGCAAACTCCATCCACCTGCCCAGGGCACCCTGCTCCTGGGGCCCACACGGGCCCGCCGTCCCCGCAGGGCAGCAAGTGTGTGCTCCGGGAAGCACCACGGCCGCAGCTGTGTGTTTGCAGTCACCAGGAGACACATGCTCCCCGAAGCAAACACGGAGTCCTGCCCTGCGTGTGCACAACAGCAAAGCACAGATGTTGACTCTCGTAGGAGATGTTTTACAATGGATTCAATTATTGACATTTTTCAGTTGGTCATCCTTAATCACATAAACCGTCCTTGATGAGCACAGTTGTCTTTTTTTTTCAACCCAGAAAGTGCTGAGTGATGCCTGGTTTAGAGCGGTGGGTGAGACCACACACCTCTGTCTCAAGCGGAGAAGTAAATGGCTTTCTTCCTGGAATGTCCCCGTAGGATGATCGGAGGTCATTTCATTAGAAAGTTAAGTGTGAGGCAAGGCAAGTGGGTTTTGCCCCATGCCCTCACAAGCACAGCTTGCGAAAAGCTGTGCCTTTAATTATTATAATTAATTAGGAGCGTAAATTTCTCTCAGCAGAGCTTAGCTGAGACATTTGTTTGCGATGAGCCTTTCCCCTCTGTGGAACTAGAAATATCATCATAAATGTGGCGATCAACATCTCTCTCTCCAGCTCAGAAAGTGTTGACACAGATGTTTGGCTAATCATTCAGAGCAAATAGCTATTCCCATAAAGGCTAAGATTAGTCGGAATTGGCATGCATTTCTTTCTTCTGTGAGCCTCGTTTGATTATAGATGATGTTTTGTTAGAGTGTATCCATGCAACCTCATAAATGATGTAAAACCCAAGAAAAACAGAGATTCGGTGCCAAGACCAAATTAAATACACATCAGAAAAATGCGGGCTTGATTCAGGTTCAGGTACCATGAAGCTTGCCTTGGTCTATTGTTGCTGAAGCCTTCAGGAGAACTATAAAAAGCAACCCTGACATTAATGTCAATTTAAAGTTGGTGTGGCTGCCAACACTTATTCAACACCAGGCTCAGCCGGCTGTATCCCCTCAAACACAACATAGAGTGGCAGCAATCACAGCCCCCAGGAGCTGTGACAAGTGGCCCGTGTGGACCGGGCAAGGAAAAGCGTTCTCTGCGTCCGCACATGGCCACTGCCTCCATCCTCCCTGTTGCAGCACAGACAGGTCTGAGAGCTGGATGCAGAGCTTGCTCGCTGGGCGAGCAGCCTCAGAGTCTCCCGCCCGTGCTGTGCCATTTCCTCCTTCCCTCAACCCACCCCAAGATACGTCACGTTTGGATTGCCGCCCCTTCCCTCCTTGGCCGACTCTCCTCGCACAGATCCCTGGAGATCCTCATTGAGTTACCACCGGTTGCCTCTGGAGCCTGTCAGGGAGCCCGAGGTCCTGTCTGATTTCCCTGCTGCCCACATCCTTGGTGGATGGGAAGGAGCAGAGCAAGGCCAACACCCAGCTGAGAACTGGCTCGGGGCCGGGACGGCTGGCGTCCGCTTGCCATTCTCCAAGGTGTGCGGTCACCTGTCTGATGCCTGCCACCGGGGAACATCCTGCCAGGTGCTGGGGAGAAGGGAAGACCAGTCTGGGAAATGGTTGCAAACACTTTGCCAGAACTTAGAAACCGTGGTAGCAAAGTCTCAATGGGAAAGCACGTGAACAGTTGAAACTCCTGGATGTCGGCAAGTTGGTGATGGGTCCTCCTGGCAAAAAGCAACATCAGGTGAGCAGAGAGAAGGCTGACTGAGCTTCCTCCTGTGGGGAGGCTATGCATAACACCGTGTGAGCGCGGGGGCCCCACCTGCGTGGACGGAACCCGCTCTACAGCTGCGGTCACTGCTGACCCCAAGGCGCTGTGCCTGCCGGCCCTCATGGTCTTACCTTGAGGTGTTTCATTCTCAGGAGAAAACGGCCCCTCCCACGATCTCAGGCTAACTCTTCTACCTCAGGAACGCTGGTTAAGCCGTCTCCACACCCACTAACTTGTCTCCACACCCCAACGTTCATACTATGCTGTGCCTCTCTCCATATATATATCAATCTTGCGAAAGAACACAAGTGACAGGCTCTTTTCTTTGAAGTGGGACATGTCAGGAAGTGCTGGGATAAGGGGTAAGCTGACACACGCTTGAGGTTTTACACTGTGTGCATTTGTATTTATTTTCAGGTTGTTTGGTAGAGTCAACCCTGGATCTGTCACACTCTGCCTCCCCGGGTGGCTCCTGCTCATCCTTGAAAGCTTGGTTCAAAGTCAGCACCTGCTGGACCTGCTGCTCCTTGGTACCTGTGCATTCATTAGCCGGGACTAACCGGATGCTGTTTCCCCATCCGTCCTTCGGCAGCAGACTCTGCACACCTTCTGAGGGGATGACGGCATCCTTGGTACCACATGTCCTCTGTGCAGTGGGACTTTGGCAGGGATGCAGGTGCCCCACAGCGGTCCCATGACTGCATGGACCCGTCTGGGAGTGGGGGAGGTGATGTCTTAGTCGGCTCAGGCCGCCATGACAAGGAGCACAGATGGGCTGCTCAAAAACTCAGACACTCTTCACTGCTCTGGAGATTGGAGGTCTAAGAGAAAGATGCCATCCAGTGTAGGGTCTGGTGAGAACCCACCTCCTGGTTTGTACACGGCAAGAAGGCTCTGGTCTCTTCCTCTTCTTAGAGGGGGAGCCAACTCCATCCTGGGAAGCCCACCTTCATGACTTCACCTAACCCTTCTCACCTCCCGAAAGCGCTGCCTCCCGAAGCCATCTCACGAGGCGCTGGGAGCTCACCATGAATGGCATGGGGCGGGGGGATGACAAACATTTAGTCCACACAGGCAGCCACTCACTGTAGAGCTCTTAGGTGTGATAGTGTGGCTGAGGAATCAAATATCCAGTTGTGGCTTACCCTAAGTAGACTGAGTTTCTAATTCCACAGGTGCACGTGGCGAGTGGTGACCCGACTGGACAACACAACTCCAGAAGCTGTCTTAGTGCTCGGAATAGAGTATTTAGTCCTGAAGTGAGCTGCACTTAGTGAACTGAGGAGAAACTATCTTGGCTCTTTCTTTATTTTCTTTTAAGATTATTTATTTATTTATTCACGAGAGACACTGAAAGAGAGGCAGAGACACAGGCAGAGGAGAAGCAGGCTCCATGCAGGGAGCCCGATGCGGGACTCAAAATCCCAGGACCCCAGGATCACAACCTGAGCCGAAGACAGACGCTCAACCACTGAGCGACCCAGGCGCCCTGCTATCTTGGCTCTTAGTTTAAATAGTTAAACCTTCCAAGATGTCAGGGAAGTTACATGTCTTCATTTATTCCTTTTCCCAACGTTTGTGGGACTGCCCTGTGCAAGCTGATGTGCTCTTGCCTTGGGGACTCCTGCCCCATGGAGCCCCCATCCTCCAATGGGGGAAGCCCTCTGCAGAGGCGACACTTGAGCAGAGGCCTACAAGCCAAGGAAAGATCTGGGGGAAGTGCACTCCATGGACAGGGCTCGGGACCTGACAGGCCCTGAGGTGGGAAGGGATGCGGCCTACATGGTGGACGGAAAGGAGAAGCCCCTTTCGGAGGCCAGGGGGATGTCGAGGCAGCAACAGAGAAGGCAGGCTGCACACCGAGGTCATATTTGAATTTTATTTGAAGCCAAATGGCAGCTGTGGGAGGGGCTTGCGCAGGGGCACAAAGTGATGTCATTGGTGTTGGGAGTTCATCCCTCTGGCACCCAGGGGGACATTAGGTACTAGGGCAGGATCCCTCCCGGTGGCCTGCGGCTGAGACGTGGCCCGGCCAGAGGAGGGAGGCAGAGGAACGCGGGGCCGGGAAGGCCTCTCATCACTGGATCTGTGCTCCGAGATCTCAGCCCCGAGTGACGTGTGTGGGTGGTGGGGCTGCTGATGGAGAAGCGTGAGATCGGGGGTCCACCGAGGGGGACGCGGGGAGGGGGCATCCCTGTGGGCATGGGGAAGGGAGGAGGGGTCCGGAACGACTGAGCTCACCGCCACCCCCCTATTCCAGGACAGGACAGGGCCTGGCACGCGAGGCGGTGCTGCAGCGGGTCCTCGCTCTGTCCCAGGCCCAGGGGGCTCTGCAGGCTCAGGGGGCAGCCAGCTCGGCCCCAGCAGCACGGTGGCTGCGGGCCCACACCACAAAGGCCCTGCTGTCCCCCCCACTCTCCTGCCAACACGCTGAACCGCGCTAGATAAAGTTGTTGAGAAATTCTGGAACGCCCCCCAGATTTTCGTACATTTTTATTTCTCACAGTGGACTATCAGCAGTGAGATAAATTTAGACTCCCTGCTAAGCGTGACACACCGCGGTAATTGTACAAGTATGATGTCTTAAATTACACTTTTATTATCTTGCGTTTCCCTTCCAGCTTGTAATTCTTCTTTCTCATCACTCTCTGCCTCTGCCTGATGTGTATCCCTTCCTCCTCCTCACAGGATGATCATTAAACTTCTCCAATCACCAGTAAATGGTGGAAAGAATGAAAGAGTTTGGCTTTAAACACTTCTAAGTAGACAGTTGGGAAGTGGTTGCAAATTAAAACCAGGCGGCTTAATGATATTAGCGTGGCCTGCTTGAGAAACCCAGCCCGGCCCCGCTCCCTGGGCCCGTGGTACCTATGACATCATAGCTGGGGTGGGGGGGTGACCGGCCCTGGAGCAGGGAGACTGTGCGGTGGGGGCTGTGCTCTCAGCCCCCAGGGGAGGCTTTTCTCACGTTGTAACAGGGGATCAGTGGGAAGGCTGGCAGTTCCTGCAGGGGGCTGTGTGGCAGGGGAGCAGAGGGGCTGCTCCTTCAGCATCTCCCCAGTTCCACACCCCCCCCCCCAGAAACTGGCTTACAAGGGGGTGCTGTGACCAACCAGTGACCGCAGGTCATCTGGTTTGGCTAAATGTTTTCACTTCCTGCATTTCACTGAAAGCATAGAGTGAGGTTTAGAAACTTGGGATGAGGAGCTCAGAAGGTGAGGTCAGGTGTAGCCGGCAAAGCAAGGAGGGCAAGGATCTGACACCCTCGTTACAAGTGTCAGTCTGGGGGCTTGGCGATGGCAGTCTCTGTGGAATGATCATCGAGGACAAGCAAGGGGAGCCTGGGTGGCTCAGTGGTTGAGCACCTGCCTTCAGCCCAGGGTGTGATCCCAGGGTCCTGGGATCGAGTTCTGCATCGGGCTCCCTGCATGGAGCCTGCTTCTCCCTCTGCCTGTGTCTCTCTGGGCCTCTCTCTCTGGGTCTCTCATGAATAAATGGATAGAATCTTTAAAAGATAAAAAGGACAAACAAAACATGAATGATTTTAACATCCCATAAAGAAGAGCAGTGCCAGAATTGTGAATGATTTAACTGCCCCCAGTACATCGAGCATTATTTCAGCCACAGACGACAAATGGGACTTCAAATAGAGTCTTTTTAAAATATTCAGTAAAAAATAAATAAATAAATAAAATAAAATAAAATAAAATAAAATATTCAGTAAAAGGCAACCATCGAACCACTGCACAGATGCTTTCCATCCCCAGGACAGCAAGGGCAGGCAGCACCGAGGGAAGTGATTTTGCCAGACGTGGAAAGAACGTGGCCCGGTTGTTAGCATGAGCTTCTTGGGAGTTTCCCTGGGCTTCTCACATGCTCTACTAACTCTGAGATCAAATCTCTTCTGACTCATTTTTTACTTCCCCAAAGACACACAGACCATCTTAGCAGCACAGAAAATTTCCAAGGCAAGTGCAGGACTGGCTGGCGCCCCACCCATGGGAAGTGAAGGTGGCAAGAAGAACCCTCACATGGCCGCCCCCCCGACTCCCAATGCTCCCCCAACCCCACTGTGCACACATTGTCTCCCAGATGTTCGCTCAACACTAATGTAGGTACTGCCCTGACCAGATCTTGTAAATAGGATTAAGGTCCAAAACAAATGGCCTTCAAGATGGGGAGATTATCTTGGGTGAGCCTGACCTAATCAGGTGAGCCCCTAGAAGGGATGGAGCGCTTCCTGAAGAAAGAGACTTGAGGCTTGAGGGGATAAACACGAGGGAGATTCCCTGTTACTGGCTTGGAAGAGGAGGGATCCCACGGCAAGGAGCATGCACGGCCCCCAGGACCTAGAGTCCTCAGTCCTACAACCGTGAGGAAATGAATTCTGCCAACAGTCCACATGAGTTGGAAGCTGAATCTTCCCCAGAGTCTCCAGAAAGGAAGGAAGGGCGGCCAACCCTGACTTCACCGAGTGAGCCCCCGAGCAGAGAACCCAGCCGCACCGAGTGGGATTCCTGACCCCGAGGACCGTAAGCTGACATGTGGCTGTTCTGTATGTGACAGGACACACAGCAAAGGGAAGGTAACCACATGTGCTGTGCACTCGGCAGGTGCAGATCCCGCCCGGCGCCAACGTCCCACGGCCGCGAGCCATCATTGCTCCAGGAGAGAGCGATGGTAGGTCCTCCCCTGCACTCTTCCCTGGGGAGCAGCAGGCCTGCCAAGAAAACCTACAGAGCTCACCCGGGGAAGCTGAAACCACCACCCCAGATAGAGTGGATCGTGTTCTTGTTGTCAACAATTGCCATTAATTATAGCTGTTTTCTTTCTCTATGTTGGCGACATTTTGTCTTTTTCAGTTTTGCTTGAAAAATAATAGTGTCAGGGAGATAGCTTGCCAGGCTGCAGAGCTTAGATGGCCCAGTGTTGACTGGGGTCTTGGAGGAAGGTGCCAAGGTCTACTCTCCATCACACTCTCCATCACAGTCACGGGATACAGGAACAGATTAAAGTTCCTGAGAAGTCCTGCTGCAGAGAGCCTCACTCAACATGGGGTAACGGGGTATTTTCTAACCCCCCTGTTTTGAAAGAATTTTTCTACAGTCACTCTGATAAATGTCATAGGACTGGAGGAGCCTTGTTTGAGAAAATTGGTTCAGAGGTTAATAAAAACAAACAAACACATAAAGAGCTGCTGACTGGTTATTGCAAGCGCTCTGATCATGCTGTGTTATGAGCATAGGAGGGTCTGCACTTTCTCAAGTGTCCAAATGCCCCCACCCCAGGCGATTCCTGCACACCCCACCCCCATAATCCTGAATCTAAACATTCCCAGACACTCAGGCATCAGAAAAGCATGCCTGGTAAGAATATTTAAGACAGAGGGAAATTCCATGCCCTCACAGTCGCTAAGAACTGAAAATATCTGTTTAATAGGAAAATAGTTGGTTTGATAAGATCATGAAAAACCACTGTCCATTAAAAAAAAATAAAACACCTTTTTACCTATCTAAATTCTATACAAATAGTCACACTCCCATTTGCAAATAAACACTGTGACACTTAAAATGAGACCTGCTTGGGCAGATAAAGAAGTACGTTATGTATCAATAGCGATTTACATTTCGTGGCCTGGGGCCGAGATGGCAGGTAGTCCAGAACAGGCTCTTCCTCACAGAGACTGCACATCTGAGCAGTAGGGCTTAAAACATGGATAATTCAAGAGAGTCAAGAAAACTGGCTAACTCTTGGGGGAAAAGATAGCTGGATCTCCACCCCTCATCTTCTTTTAGAAAGGGGCTTCGGATGGAACACAAACTTAAGGATAAAATAATAGCTTCTTGGGGCACCTGGTGGTGCAGCGGTTGAGCGTCTGCCTTTGGCTCAGGGCATGATCCCGGGGTCCTGGGATCGAGTTCCGCACTGGGCTCCCTGCATGGAGCCTACTTCTCCCTCTGCCTTTGTCTCTGCCTCTCTCTGTGTGTCTCTCATGAATAAATCTTATTTATCTTATGAATAAAATCTTTAAAAAATAAAAATAAAAAAATAATAGCTTCACAGTATATTAGAAGGAAGCATAGGTGAAGATTTAAGCCGATGGTTGAGAAAGGACTTTTCAACATAACATCTCAGAATTGAAACCATGAAGACAGATCCTGGTGGACCGGATTCTGTATCGAGTTCTCTATTAAAGAGAAATTTGGAGAAACATTTCTGATATTGATGAGGCAGATGATACACAGATGAGTGGGTTGCAAATGGATGAGGAAAAGTGAGACTCCCTATAGGAAAATCAACAAAGGATATGCAGGAAAAATAAATCACCGTGAAAGCAGCCCCTAAATGTATTAAAACACCCTGGAGCTCACAGCAGTGACAGGGACGGAACGAGGACACCGGGTACCTGTCTGATGGGTGATGGACGCTAAGGAAAAGGAATGCTCCTTCTCTGTGCGGGTGGTAGCTGGGGCAGGGGAGCAAAGTTGAAGGGATAAGACAGTTTGCCCAACCTCAGGAAGGCAATAGTAAGAGAGAAAAATATCAAAATGCAGAAATAGACAGGAGGATGGCTCTGTCTTTCCAGGGATGCATGGAGGGGGTGTGCAATAGCCTCCCAAGACCTGAGTCATTAGGGGTTTGATTTATTCTTAGTTTCTACCTTGGTTTGATTTATTCTTTTCCATTGATCAGTGTATTTGATGACCCAGTAGGAGTCCACATTGACCCAGAGAAGACTGACCACAATGCAGAGATGACCGATGTTCTGGAGCCATGCAGAGGATGCAGCCCAAGGTCAGTGCCTCCTTCCTGCATAAGATTGAACAGCTGCCTCCAGGGGTTTCACTGTGCTTTTGGGCGCCTTCTCTCTGCTTCCTCCTGAACCAGTCTCCCCAGCCTGCATAGGCTCCCTATATATGCGTGTGACGGTTGTGCTTTTAACCTTTTAAAATGATACTTGGACAGAAAGTTGGCAAAAATTTATCAGAGTTCTCAATGGATGTGTCTTCTCTGCAATAGTAATATAGCATCTAGGAATGTGCACTTTGGGTGTACTTGGGTGGAAGCAGAAAGAGGGCTGTGAAGAGGTTTGCGCAGCTTTTGTAATGATAGTCAAAGCAAACAAAATAAAACAACCTATACTCTCTCTAAAAAATGAACAAATAGGGATCCCTGGGTGGCGCAGCGGTTTGGCGCCTGCCTTTGGCCCAGGGCGCGATCCTGGAGACCCGGGATCGAATCCCACGTCGGGCTCCTGGTGCATGGAGCCTGCTTCTCCATCTGCCTGTGTCTCTGCCTCTCTCTCCTTCTCTCTCTGTGACTGTCATAAATTAAAAAAAAAAAAAATGAACAAATAAAATCTTTAGAAAAAATT